TAGAGTAATGTTTAAATGGACAATTATCAAACTCATGAAGCTTTGAAAACCATCCGACCATCCGAACTATTGGCAGCTATATGACGAAAAGTCATCGAATATTATTTCAAAGTTTCCAGTGCTGTAAGATGTCTCGTTAAGATTGTTGAATGTTGTTGTATTTCTCACTTAAGAACCGTGTTTAAACTTTAACATTACTACTAAAAACTATAGAAATTATACAATCTATAACGTATGAAAGCTTGATCGAAATCCACACTTGCGTTACGTTACTTTCGTAACCAGAAGATGTATAGCCCTGTCGTTGTAGCCGCACACAACATTACAAATATTAAGTTGAAGACTTAAATCCCTGCTCGTTCTGTTGCTGTATTTTAATATCGTGTAATAACTTGCAAGTGGAAATTTCGGGATAAGATCTCTTTAAACATCTGCACGGGGTAGCTAGTAACGATTTTTGAACAAGTGAAATCCAATTGCTGACTGGTGTCATTTTTCCTCCTTTAACCAGACAATAATAACTGCAGAACTTGGAAATCTGTCTTATAGTCTCACCGTTAGTTAGTAATAAAAATTCTATTCTATTCTATGTACATTCACCATTACCACCCGCCAAATATATACAGAAATTTTTTAATCAGAGTTGTTTTTCCAATTTTGTTAGTCCCTTCAGCAAATTCTAATTTTGAGACAGTCGTATGAGTAAGAAAGATTGATGTGAAAAGGAACGAGTTTGGTTTATTTCACTTTAGTTAGATTTTTTCACTGAAAACTCTGTTTCTTATGGGAATTTTTAATAACGCTTTCCGTAACAATTCCTCTACTCAATCAAGCACATTAAAAATACTAGACAATAGAACTCATATAGCAGTTTTCTTAAAATCTGAACTTCTGTCTGAATATTACTAAGTACAAATTTTGTTTTTCTAGCTTGAATTCACTTTGCTAAGTTTTTCGGGTTTCGGTTCTCAGTTCTCAGACAAAATTTAAGTGAAAATATTTCAAAGCATTATTTAGCCAATAAAATGCATTCCTCGTCCTGGATTCACCGACTTAAAAGGAAAATACCGTTTAAACTTTTTTATGATTATTTATTTTTCATTAATTTCGGTGTTGTTTTGTTGGAGTTTTTTAATTCTGTCATTGGAAGACACAAGCGCTGGCATTAGGAGAATGCAGCAAACTTTTGTAATTAAGTCAACGAAAAATGGTCAAAATACCAGCAAACAACAACGGCGATGACGGAGAAAACATTAATGCCAACGATTAATAGAGTTTAGTAGCTGTGCAAACTGGAACAACCAACAGATACCTTCTGCTTCCTAGCACTAGCACAAGCGTCAGCAATGCATTTTGCATTGACATCTTATCTCGGCCATGGCAGCCACTGCGATATTTTGCACGTCAAGCTGCTTGGCTGTGGTGCTTGACTCGCTTTTGTTATACATCTGCATTGCTGTGGTTAGATGCTTCTAACGATGACAACATTGCGCCACATGCACGGACGCATTACCGCAGAAGCTGCCAGGATGCCGTAAGTCGCTTTGGGGAGAACCATACGTTAGTTAAGATGCAAAAGTTGCACACAAGTGCACACTTAATCACAACTTGTACGCTTCATGCTTGCACAATAGCTCCGGAATGGAATAAAAGTATTAACTGCCGAAGTGGGAATTGATGTGCGGGAAACTTGTCTTGGAGTCGTTCCATATCGTTCTATATCGTTGCCCTATGTGTATGTTCGTGGGTGTACAGTGCAGTTGATTGTGGTAACGGCGATTTGAGTTGCCAGCAAATATTTTAGACGAAAGTTACAAAATTTGCACAATTTATAAAACCAAGACGATTTTAGGTTGTAATAACTCCTAAGTTCTAGCATTGAGGATAAGAAAACTGTGTTTAAGTTTAAGTTCAGCTTTTAGTTCAATATTCAGAAGAAATTTATTAAATTTCGATATTAAAATCATTGAATGGTTGAAGTCGACAATGTTAGTTCAATAGAAAATTAATGGGATCTCTTTAATGTTGGATATTGAGATCTGCTACGGACTATTTAATTTGTTATGCTTCATGACATGTTACTGAAATTTTTATATGATGCCATCTTACTTTAGATGAAGTATATATAGAAATAGTATATTGAACAAAATAAAGAGGAGAAGGATTATCGTAGTTTTCAATAACTTTAAGAAATATTTACATATTTATAGGGATCTCTTCACTGCCAAATAAACATGAGGTTTGATTATTCAAAAATAGTTGACTATCAATTCAGTAGGCACAAAAACACTACTGCGTGTCACTGTCACTCCCTATAATGCCCTCAATGCTTAATGTTACCTTGACAGTAACCAACGCAGGTCAACATGATTGCTTTTTCTGTTCCCGTTGCTATTTTCGTCGTTGACT